TTTTTATGGAATTTCGGTGTAACAATCAACATGTATCGAACAGAACCGAAAACCGTGACCAGAAACCGTGAATCGAACCGAACCGTGGATTTTGTGAACCGTTCCACCCCTTATATATGTATATATATATATATAAATCACAATACCAATCAATTGGAGCCATATCACTGTAATTGAATCAATTTTGATCAGCTACAAAGACAGAAAAAGGTGACAATAAAGAAAAAAAAAAATAGCATATGTTATAGCTGAGCATTAAGGTTTAAAGCAAGTAAGAGGAGTGCATCGAGTTTAGTTCGGGAAGCATGCAGCAAGACTGCCGAACAGAAGGGCTTGACTTACTGCTGGACTTCCCCCAACACCTCCGCCCAGGTCTCCCCCCAGCTATAGGAGAGAAGAGAAGACGCCCCCAAAGACAGCATCCAAACATCACAGACAGACCGAACACAGACAAACAAAGACAGAAACAGAAATGTTCTTAGCAACCGCAAGCCATCAAGAGAAGCCCTCAAAGTCTGGGGAAGTATTATCTGTATACTGAATTTCATATAAAGACAACCCAACTTTAAATATCTCTAATAAATCTGCAAAAAAAAAAAACTATGAAGAAAGTCAAAAAGTATCTAAAAATAAAGATAAAACTGAGGCTAAAATTGCCTTAATCTCACAAAGTTTTAAAATGTTAAACAGGAGTATTCATTAAAATTTATATTTACTGAAAAGCTTAAATTTAGAACTTTTAAATCTTCATTACAGGGCTTGCATACAATTAAAAAAACCTCTCTGAAAATGTTAATACATTTTAAAAGGCCAGAGGAAAATAATTTTTAGTATACAGAAGAAAAGTTATTAGTAATGGCCCAGTCCAGGACAGATTCATTAACACCATCTGCAAGGAGAGTTGGCAAATCGTTGCTAAAGACAATGGCTTTTCAGAGACCGTTAGCTTAGCGCATTAATGGAAAGTTGATTGAAAGGAAAAAGGGAAGTTAGAAAAGCATTGTATTTAATGATCTGGTAATGATTCAACCAGATTTTTCTTCCTTTCATTCAACTTTCCATTAACTGCTACAACATCCATTTATCCATAAAATACTATCTCTTATGTCAAATGCTATATTGAGTATAGAAGCTTGTTAAATTACACTAATTAACCACTACAAAGCAGCAAAGGAATTTAATTATGGTTGTTAAGTCACCATGGCTGTGTATTCATTTCTGCAAATTCATAAAAATAGTTTAGAAGGCAGCAGCTTTAATGGCTTATCTGTGTTAACAGCGTAAACAACTGTATTGGACATGGACATACATTCTGTAGTAAAAAAGTTTGTATTAGTTTCATTTAAATTTTGGTAGACATCATTCTAATTTTTAAAACAGACAGCTCTGAGTAATGAAGCCATGCAATATGAAAGTTAGACTGTTACCCTGTTAAATGTGAAGATCTCAGAGCTGACCCCAAACATGAACAAATAAACATCTCAAAATTGTAAAAAAAAAAAAATAGCTACCTGTTAAAAACGGTTAAATTAAATCAACCATATCAATAAAGTACACAAAAATAAATGCTACATCCATGCACATGGTGCAACCCCAGATAATGTAGTTTGCAGATGACAAGCCAACATTTCCTTGAGCCACTGAGCTCACCAAACTGTCCAGGCCTCCCCCCAGGAGGTCCACCGCACCCATCTGCATGGAGGAAACCTGGGGAACATTGACAGGAGGGCCCAGGTCCAGGTTGAGCAAGTCACCCAGCAGGTCGCCCTGGCTGGGGATCACATGTGGCTGATCCATGGCGGCGGCTGGACCACTGCTCACGGGGCTCTCGCCTGTGTCAATACTGTTCCAGGAGAAGATAGAGGACAGGTCAGATCATGTTAAGTTTAAATTCCCCCTTTCAAATTATCCGTGAGATCTTTTAACTAAAGTGAAATTACACAAAGCAGGACAACAAATGAGGCACCGCCGAGCTTTCTAAATTATGCAGGTGTCTGACCTGCTGTGCTGGACAGGAAGGTGCTTGCGGTGGATTCCATGACTTCCCTCCACAAAGGCGCTGGGCGGCTTGTGATAGACTGAGGCCAGGGAGCCGATGTGGCAGATCAGCTCGTCCAGCAGAGTGGGCTCAATCAAGTCTGTCTCCTCAGAGATCAGGGGCTTTTCTGACAGCACCACCTCTTTGGCAGTCACTGGGTCAGTGGACAACAGGCGCCAGTAAATGTAGCCCCTGTCACGGAGGTCTGGGTTATCAGAGTCCTGATAGGAGAAAAAAAAAAAAGAGAAGTCTCAATGTAGGACTGAGCTAGTGAACAGATTTGCATTTCAAATTTTGATTGACTCCAACTGATCACAACAAAAGTCATGAATAATGAACATCCCTACATTTTGTTTTTTTTCCTGATTTACAAAAAAAAAACAAAAAACAACAACACTTAATACTAATTTTGTTAAGTGAATCTAATCTTGCAAATCTGAATTTTTCCAACTACAAAACCTTGAACAATAGAAAGAACAGAGATACGGAGACTGGATTTGTTCCTGCAGCTTCTGGTCTGTCTGACGTGACCTGACCTGCTCAGACGGAGGACCCACATGAAAGCAGACAGGGGAGATTTCTGAACATCACTTCTGAGTGCACTAAGAACACATTCACAGTGATAAAGACGTATGGAGCAAATGAACTGTGATGGGAGTTTTAAGGTCAGGTAGCAAGACTTTTACTGTATACAAGTGAAATTAATCATTTTAAGTCCCAAAATCAGCTGAATATGTAGATAAAGGAAAATAGAAATACTTTATGATCCTTTTCTTTACATTATATATATGAAAAGGAGTCCCTTAATAGGAATTATAACCCGAAGCAGGTGTGGGAGTGTGATTGATAAACTGCTTTATAGAGAACTAGATACAACTAAAAAACTAATTGGGAAATAATATTCTTAAGGTATCAAATATACAAACTAATCAATTTATTTAATATCTGTGCAGTTTCATTTTGGATATAATAAAAACAAGGCATTTTATCTCATTTTACTGTTGTTTCATGTAAACATTACACAAGACTACTTTACAAACTGAAATATGCATTTAGAACTTAGATGAGAAGATGAAAAACGAATGCGGGTCATATGTAAACTTTTTATTTTAAAGAAGGTGCTGCAGCTGTTTGAAAGTCTTTTTTTAAAGCCTCTGAAAGACACTGAGTTATATAGACAATGTATAAAGAGACTAACCTGAGTGGCCAGACTGAGGACCTGCTGCACCAGCTCCTGAGTCTCTGATGGCTTCTTCAGGAACAGCTTGACGATGGCAGTCAACAAAGTGAGTTGCACCTGCAAGGCAAAAACAAGCAGCTGTACTTGGATGTAATTCAAATAGTGTTGCACCGATAACAATACTACTATCAGGCGGGGCCCTGATACTGCATGGTATAAGTGAGTACGAACAAATAGAGCACCGATACCATTTTGAGAGCCAAAAGTTTATTCAACTATTGTCACCCATTCCAGGTAGGCAATTAAAAGTTCTACTGGATTCACTTTGTATTATTTGTTTCCCTGCTTCAAAAAGGTAGGCAGCAGCTTGACAAAGAAATGATGGCAATTATTTTACATCCAGGTAGTGTGCAGTTCTCCTGATATACACACACACACACACACATCTATTTCAAACAGATGGTATCGAATCGGCCCATAGTGCACAGCCAGGTATCGGGGCCAAAAAATGGCATCGGCGCAACACTAGTTGATAACTTGTAACTTGGTTAGTTCCAGTACTTTCCGGTCAGCTCCCACTTTGTTTTTAAAAGACAGTGCAGCTAGTTGTTTGACGTTAGTTCGCAGGAACCTCTTTTTACCATTTTTATTTAACTCACCTGAGTGCTCTCATCGTGAAAACCCTCCAGAAAGCTCTCCAGCAGCTCGTCGGCGTTATCGATTCTCTCTGCGTACTCTCCAACGATCCAGATCATGGCGCCTCGAGCATCGGGTTCATCCAGGGAGTCCAGGTTCTCACACAGAGTGGCAATGATGCTCTCATACCTGAAGAACATCCACATCTCAGTGGTCAGAATCCACTATGACTGAACAGATATTATTAGTCTGGATGATGGCTCAATAGAAACGTACTTGTTTGGGTACTTGCGGAAAATGTCCCTAATGACCACAATAGCTTCCTGTACCACATAGTTGACCTTGGTTTGGATCAGGTCGAGGAGAGTGCTGACGCAGCGCTCAGCCGATTGCTGCAGAAACAAAGGCCACCTTCATAAACCAACAAAAGGTCACAGTAGGTTGAAAGAACAAGTCCACACCAGAACTAGTAGCCAGGTCCAGTCACATTTGACTAATAAAATCGCATCTATTATCCATATTTGGATTGAAATGTTATTTTAAAACAAAGAGAAAGGGATAATGAGGATGACATTTGAAGACATTTTTAGTTTCAGCTTTTGATGGTAAAGTGGTCAGAATCACTAGGTCTTCATGTCTATTGCTGAGGGATGGACAGTAGTCTCCTAACTGAGAAATGCTGCAAAAATTTCCACATCAAACAAGCTGAATGATGGGCATAGGAGGGCGTCTTTACTGCAACCAGTCCAGCGCTCAGTTGTAATATGAAAAAGCAGGCAAGTCTCCAAACTAAACAGTTTCCTTTAAATCCCATCCAACACCTTCAGTGCTTCTCCTGAAAGATTTTTTTTAGGGCTGCAACTAATGATTATTTTGCAAATAGATTAATCTGTCAATTTATTTTTTTTTCAATTGGATGGCAAAAGGTATCTTAAAGAAGACTTTTTACTAAATTAAATCAGGTGAATCTAAAATGCTTCTACTTGAGTTCTATGTAGAGCATATTGATAGAAGAAAAAGATTTTTTTATCTTAAATTTCGGTAATATTGTTACTCGAAGTGGGTTGCTCTGTCAGCTAAAGGCATTTTTACAGTCTCTATACTCCAGTTAACGAATCATCAATTACTAAATTAGTTGTCAATTATTTCAATAACTGATTAATCATTATTTATCCGATTAACTGTTTTTGGCCCTAGATTTTTTAAGATAAATTCCAGCCTTTTACTTTCAGTAACAATGTATGTATTAAAGAATGTTGTTGTCAGCGAGACCTATTGATGTTTGGTATGGTGTGTTAACTAAACACAAAAAAAAAAAAAAAAAAAAAAAAAAAAAAAAAAAATTTGAATAAAATAAACAGGACATCAGATACTCATCGTATTTCGGTCA